TAATGAGAGAATTCGGGCTGGGGACATCAAATGTTTTGGTAATCTAGAAAAATGCTCTACAGTATACATTATCTCTGGAGACGTGACTAATTTTCTGTTAGAGGACATATCCCATAGGGATAGCCTAATTTTCACACTGCTAGTTTCGGGAATCCTTTAGCTAATCAACTTTACTGCAAATATCATTCATGAAAACATTCTTAATGATAAGTATTTAGTCGTGGTTGTGACACATGGCAGCAGTAACTGCTTTAAATGCTGCTGTAGATTCAACATTTCATTACTTGAAACAATACAGATATATAGTTCTTAAAAAAAAGGAAATAAAAATGCATGCAGTAAAACTGAAGACATGGTTTGAGATCAGGTTTCATCTTAAATAGTTATCAAGTAGTCTTACCATTAGGGTCAGACTTCTTGTAAGCGTTTCCTGCATCAATAAAACTGGTGGCGCAGTCATGTTTGTTCTGTAGCTGCATGTGGAGACGTGCAGCCTTGCAAAATGCACTTCCAGCAGCTGAAGGCAGAGAAAAGAAGAGAAGCACAGAAACTCTCACACATACTGTACACTTTGAGTTTAGCTTACGTTCTAATTTATGCACATGATTCCACCTTTTTTACTTGTGGCACCTTCACAAGTGCTGCGCTTTGCAGTTATAGTTGCCAAAAAAATAAATCAGCACATAATCCTACAGCTTCTCAAGAATGGGGAAATAGAAAAGTTAGATATCTTTAGCAGAAAACAGCTTATCTCACCACTCCAGTTCTTGGCCATCTTGAACATGTTTGCTGATCTGCAGTACATCTCACACGCTTCTTCCACTTTGTGAGGTCCTCTAGACAAAGAAAGGAAACAAAAAGAAAACAAATGTACAGATGACAGTACACATTTTCATACAGGCTCATACATGGCACACTGAGGTTAAACTGGTGTAAGGAACCATTAATCTGACCTACATACTGAAGTTGCATCTAATAAATTATGGCTGAATGGCACCAAGGTGATGAACTGTCCAAAGCTGTTGCATTTCTCAGGTAGATGCAATACTCAGATTGGTGGACTGGCTTATATAAATCCCTCTACACAGGCACCCAAGATCTCCCTCCCTCCATGACAAGAAGTGGACCCCTGGGAGCTCCCTGTAGTTGTAATAACACCCTGGCCATTCAATCATGGCAGAGGATTACATCACTGCTTGGTCAGTCACAGAATTACCAGTATAAAGCCGGCCAAGAATTATCACACACGAGAACTGCCAACTAGTAATATCTGGGGGTCACCTACAGAGCATTGGGGAAAAAAGACTGAGTCACAGTGACTGCTGGCTTTTTGGAATTCGGGCCTATTCAAACACAGCCCTCCGTTATTCTGTCTCTATTACGTGATAAAATATATATAAATATATATACACAAGAATCACTTTACATGTAAGAATCCAACTATAATGAGTCCTAAGGAAAGGTCAGATAAACCATATCTTGAAAATGAAGTGTGCTCTTGAAGAATGTTTTGCCTCCCTTTGTATTTGCTGGTTTGTGTGTGTAGTTTGTACTCCATACTCTGTAATCATGGCCCATAAAAATCTGAACTCTCAATCTGAAAGTGAGTGGGACTGAATCCTCTCACAGAATCTGCCACTGTGGAGGTCTGCCTCATCCTTCGTCCTCTGAGAAACCTTCAACCTGTGTTTTGGGGATTGAATCAGGTGTTAACGAGTACACTGATGACAGTAACCAGTAGCATTTGATTATAAATACTGTTGTGTTAAAAGCAATAAATTCACGGTCACTGCCTTGGGGATTATGTCGGAAGATAATGGGTTTGGGTTTTCACTCTGAGGAGCTTATTTTATGGACTAAACATACATGTTACCAAGCATAATGCGAAACTATACAAAAAGGTAGCAAATAAAATCAAAAGCAGGTATCTCAAAACCTAGAAGTTAGCCAAAACAGCCAACTGCGTAGCTCCTAAACCAACGCTAGATCCAGCAGAGTCGTGATCTGCTGGCTTGTTTACATTGAATAGAACAGCTAACTAAGCTAGCTGCTACACGGGGAATTATCCCACTGAATGCCACGTGTGGCCTCGCTTTGGTTTCCCAGCTAGTTAAACTTCTCCAATGTCTCTAGTTAACACATCGGACTGACTCAATGTGCGTCGACACAGGCTGCGTGCCAACTTTGCTGCTGACAGTTAACGCTTGCTAGCTGTTTTGTTCTTTGGTGCAGTGCTGTCTTACCCTCCAAACATCCCTCCCAAAAAAGAGCCAGAGGACTTGACTTTTTTGTCAGCGTCGGCCATTAGCTGAATCGCTTCTTTCTCTTTCCCAGAGTTGTCCATTTCTTCGCTTTATTCGGAACAAACTGACAGTATGGCAGAAAATACCCGCAGAGGATTCCGCTGTGTACAGTGAGGATTACAGGCGATGGGTTTATTTTACGTGGGCGTGCACCAAGCTAGCGGCTTAGGCTAGTCCCGTAGCATCGCGGGAGTTTGAGTGCTTTGCGTGATAAACACAGTTGGCTTCCGGGCAAAAGAAACTACAAGTCCCAGTGAAAACGTGAAGCTATTTTTATATCCTGTGTTACGTAATATCTAATGGCAATTTGCGGAAATCTATAACTGTATTGAATAAATTAAATAATTTTCTGGCTTTGAAGTTGACACATTATCAAATATCGCGTTGTTTTCGCTTGTCTGTAAAGATAAAAATACAATATCTTATTGTCATAAGCAACATAATCAGTGTACTTTGTTTGTCTGTACAGCAGAGGGCGCTAAAATATTACCACTGACTTGCAGGGCTCCTGTTTGAGACTTTCCCTTCTTATTATCAGTTTTAATACACCTTTTTGCACTTTTCATACCATAGTTATGCAATAGTTGATATGTCTTAGAAAACACTGTTGTAATAGGCATTTCTGTAGCCGAAATTTAGATACTAATAGGATAAATGAGCAGTTTATTCATCTCTTAGTTCATTTTTTAGGTACTTATACTTGAGTAATTTGAAAATATTGTACTTTTTTCACTCAGTTACATTCGTTTTATAGTTATTAGTTATCTTGCAGAACTACAAGTTATTGATATATAAAATATGATGCATATTGAAGAATACATTTTTCAATAGTGTATATTGTAGGTCAAATAATCTCCATCTCGACCTGCTACAACATTGAAATGCAGTTAGGCATACTACATGTTAATACTTGCAATGTCAGCATGAACAACACAATAAGGCCTTGGCCCTGCCACTGGCACACCTAATTGGAATGCAGCCAGTCTTACACCTGGGAGGTTCATGCTGCAACAGTTAACTTAAGCGAGACATAATTGTCTCAAAATGGGTGAAGAAACCTGTAAACTTAACCAAAGAGGTTTTCTTGTAATTCAAAATTCTAAGTAGTGGTGTAGTATGAAGTTCAAGATCTGTAATTTTACAGGATCACATGTAGAAACCGGTTCTCCTTTCTTATCTTAATTCATATCTTTCTCAATGCTGCACCTGCAAACAGACGTATACTTTCTTTTTGTCCTCCGCCCAGGCTGTTGTAAGTGAAAAGACTGGTCAGTGATGAATCAGTCTCAAGGTCCATGCTGATAACTAATGCAAGACAATCAACATGAGATAAATAAAACCCACATCATCAGTGGTGCCCACTGCTACTAAGTATTTTATCTAATCATTTACTAATGGCTACACTCCAGTGCAAGCAGTATTACATGGGTGTAAGTTATGTGGAGTATGTATCTATCTGCGGAGCAAAGTTGATTTTGTTTTTAATTGATTATATTATTTTACAAGTAAGATGGGCACATATGGGAGTGTAAAATCCTAAGTCACTAAAGATAGAGTCTAGATAAAATTTACAACAATTTCTCCAGAGCCCATCATATTTACCTTTATTAATAATGACACTACACAGGACAAAAGCCAATTAGAGTATAACTATGTATCAAAATTTGAATCAATTACTTTTCTGTGACTAATCAAGTGTTAAACTAATCTAATAGCATCATAACCCCAATGTTACATATGTTACCTATTATGCTGGATGGTTAGAGTAACACTGACAAAATCAGTCTAACAGGTCAGAACTGGATGAATGAGATCGACCAGGAGGGAAAAAATCACATGCTTATCATAACCATTCAAACCGTCTTCAGCTTGTGGCTATTGTTCGAAGTTACTGACAAATTCTTGTAGATTATGTCTAACACAATAAAAACACACACACAAATACTCTGTTACTAAATTGGCACACTGGGTTGTTGCTCATGTCTTTAGCATTTTTTTATTAAATGTATTTTAGCAACTTTCAATATTATAGTTATAGTATAGTGTAGATTAAAAAATAGACTTGAAAAACTGTCTATAAACAACAGTCAGATTCTCATTAGAAACAATGAAACAGGTTTTGCTTCATTCCTCCGGTCCGAACTGGAAAGTCAACTCCTTGTTAGGTGCAGCATTGTATTCAAAAGTATATCCAAGGTTAATATGAGGATTCAGCAGTCTGAGTTAGACAAATAAAGTGGTTATTTTTAAAAGTTAGATTAATTTAAGGACAAAATTTGGTACTTTTTTTGTTACTGTTCCTCCACTGCAGCCCATCCAGGAAACACTGTGCAGCCTGCAGGGAAACACAAAGATGACATTTCATTCTCAAAAGACTTTAGAGGATATTTACTAGATTCTTTTAGTTTTGTGAATATTTCAGATGTTCTGTAATTCTGTCAGAACTGGTTGAAAACTGTTATATCTTAGTGTGTGTGTGTGTGTGTGTGTGTGTGTGTGTGTGTGTGTGTGGGATAACGGTGATAGGACAGTTAAATAACTGTAAAGATTTAAAGTAAGAAAGGATCAGCTACAACCTCTTAGTTATCCAGAACAAACATTCTGTATTACTTGATATGCAAGACGATCCTGCAGCAAAACAAAATGTAAAAAAAGACAACAAAAAATGTGAAAGAGAAAAAAAGTCAGACAAAATAATCATATATATAAGTTTTGAATTTATTTACATAACCATTTACACTCGTCTGTCCTGAAGAGGCAGTTTATATCACACACTAGACTTGTTCATTCTCTGAGGATATTCATTCAGACAGGTATACAGATCATGCATGGCTCTGTCATTAGAGTTTTAAGTTAAGAGATTGTCCAATGAGACAGATAAACATACAGTATACTAAAATGAAATGGTTTTGCTGTTTTTAAAACACAGCATTACCAATGTATTATGCTGAAGCACCACTTCAAGGTTCAAATTACTATTTCAACCGTAATTTGTGCCAAAAAATTATCTGCCATGCAATAACAAAAAACATGGTTGTTGTTAAAGTGGATTTATCAGAAACATTTGTTTACTCTAGACCGAATAAAATTGAGTTTAGTTGTTTAGATGAAGAGTGAGGTATTGGAGTTTGAAACAAAGGCAAGAAAACAGAAACAGACATCATTTTCCCCCCTTAAGGCTGTGATATGTATGTGCACTTTTGCAAATAAAACATTCTTCTGCTCTTCCTCAAATCAAGTAGATAAAGGGATAAATGATACAGTACTTCCAGTATGCAGTATGTCATTTACAACAAAATGTCTTAATCATTACGAGTAAATAAGCAGGAGTTTGAAACTGTGGAGAGGAGCAAGCGTTTTCAACAGACAGGCATGTACTCTATCCACCAAAACAGATCATTCATTAATGATGACCTGCACCGATGCACAGCTTGTGTAATGTGTACTATGTCTAACAATACCTGAAATAGCAATAAGTAGGTATTACTCATTGCTAGTTAAGACAATGAAAATAATACTTAAGGTAATGAATACATGATCAGGAAAGAGGTAACAGCAGAAAGAGAAAAAAAACCAGTATAATCCTGCATCATACACTTTATAACATACAATTTGAAGTTTAGTCAAATGTTTACCCTCTTAAAATATCATACGCATTATATTTTAGCACTTAGACTATGAAGAGATGCAACATATTGGCTAAATAAATATCCGCTGTCAAGCATAAATTCCCAGTTTGACATTGTTCCACTATTATGCCACCTCGGTACAGCCTGTTATGATTACTAAATAGTACAACAAATACATGCATGACTGGCTTAAAATCTTGGCAAAACTTCCATTTATTTTAATACAAAGCATAAATAACAAAACTTTTGTGAAGATACAAGACCATGAACACAATCTGTAACTGCAGCAGTGGAGTAGGGTGGAGATGGTTTAAGTGGTTTTACTCTTGTGATCATGTATGAAGAAAGAAATGATAAAATCTTCTAACAACCTTAAACAAATTTTAGAATATATACACACAAACCTAAGTTGTCACTTTTCAACACGTTTTTGCTCAATAATCCATTCCCAGCATGAGTATGAATGTACTGTGAGGTCCACTGAAAGGTAGAAGTTTAGGGATATTTATGAGGAGCTGAGGCCAGAATCGGACTCAGTGCTGCCAGCATGGGAGTTGGAGGCAATGCAGGGAGCCATGGAGCAGGGGATCGAGTAGCAGGAACAGGTGGAGCTCATTAGGGTCTCCTCTGTAATAACCTCCTGCAGGGTGTGTTGCTCCTCTACTTTGAAGATGTTTGGCTGCTCTCCTTGTTCCTCACAGATACTATAGGAAAAGGGGGAGAAGGCATGCTTAAGTTAGACCAGACAGTAGTTAAGTGTACACTGGGGTCTTTTACATGCCATCCATCATTCAGAAACCAGAGTACAGTAATAGCAGAGCTGTCCTGATCCAAATAAAAAATAAAAAAAACTAAGAATTTACAAAACACAGGGTTGTTTGGAATCAGTGATTAAGGCAACATAATACTGTCAAATAATAACATGTGATGGCAATGTTTGTACTATCACCACACAATCCACTAATGAATTATTGCCCAGCACTAAGGAGTAGTCCAGTGGAACAAAATGTATCATTAGTATGAACTTCTCATACAAGATAAAAATAGAAGATAGACTGCTCCAGTTCTGCTCTAAACTAAAGAGCAAATCGGTAAAGTTAACATACTGTAGCTCCACACTTATTTTTCCATGCATGCATGTTAGTGAAAACTATATCTGCTGCATTCATTTTGGCTAGGGGGAAGATTGTACTGGTTGACATTTTGGCAGAGAGAAGGAACCTTTAATCGTTTTTAATGAGTTAATAAATACTATTCATTCAGGGCACCTCCCTTATTACCTGCCTGGCATGTGCCATGTTTGGTCTCTTAGCCTGATGAAATAAGATTAATTTACTTTGGGCCAGACCCTGGCTTATCAGTTTTTATTTGGGTGGATCACTTTTACAACCTTCATCAAAAGCACATTATGTTCAAGTCAAATCACACATATGACAAAACAACCTCACCAGTGAAGTATGGAAAACAAAGGCATCATTCCAACCCCATATAGATAATGTTAGACATTCGAGAAAGCTAAATCCTCTTTTCCATTGAGGTAAAGGAATACTTATCACAGCTATGCAGTCTTATGTGGAGGACAGTCATCATGTGCTACATTACATTGAATAAGTGTTGTGTGTAGTGCTGGGCGATAAATCGATTAATTCGAATTCTTAGTTAAACACGATTTATTTTTAGTTAAAATCGGTTTTCTCTTGAACTTCCGCAACACCGGCGCTCCCTTTGGGCTCCTGTAGGTCAGAGTGCGCTGACCCCTCCCCCTGCTCTCCACAGATAAACAACACGGCAGCAAACCAGGATGAGCTCGTACCCAAAAAAGGCACAGTGTCGTCGGTTGTTTGGAACTGGTTTGGTTTTGTGGTGTCCAACAGCGAACAAACCACGACCCACAGCAAAGTTTGTTTGAAAGCTGTAGCAACCAAAGGTAGCAGTACGACCAATTTATTCCAGCACCTCAAGCAGAGGCATGCAGCCGAGTGGGAGAAATGTTGCTCTCTGCGAGATATACAGGACCGCAGCCCACAAACACCCTCTACAAAAAAAAATCGATTAATATCGTAAATCGGGTTTGGTGTGAAAAAATCTGAGATCTTATTTTTAAGCCATATCGCCCAGCCCTAGTTGTGTGTATTCTCAACAATGAGCTCTGACAATCAAAAGCTTTACAGTAGGTTACACATGGTTAAGGTTGGGATTCTAGACATGGATTGGATTAGAGCCAGCCAATATTAACCACATGCAGTGAAACTTTTGCTCAGATTGAGAGTAAAAAAAGCCCCCTATCCCAAGTTATCAACCCCATCTCTTTAGGTCAATACACTCAGAGGAGGAAACTCACAGCCCGCTTTGTGAGTAATCCAAGATGGCAAATCTAAGATTTTTGTCGGGCAGGCTGTTCTGATTGTGTTCAACTAATTTCACGAGACAGGCCGCTGAAGGCTTTACTTAATGAAAGCAGCAGTGCTTTCAATTTTCAAGCTTGCAAAAAGAGTCCAGTGCAATCATCCCCTTTGTAAAGGAACCAAACTGCATTACAAGAAGGTGGAATTCAAGGTGCAAATAATAGAAAATATACACGTGAAAAAAAAACACTGATATCTCACAAAGTTGCTGAGAGCTGTATAGCAATACACGTGAAGCTTAAATGCAGGGCTCTCTTGAATCAGCGTTATTTGAGTCGATCCATCCCATTCAGTTTCATTACATTTACAAGCTGCACATAGTGAGTATGTGTGGTTGTCAAGGCGGTTTGGTGCTATGACACTTGCATACATTAAGCAAATTTGATTACAACTAGCAGTTAAAAATGCAAGTATATATTTTTTGTTCATACAGAAGCTAATATTTCAAATAACACTGTCTCATGCACTAAACAAGCTGTTGAGTTGAGTGTCACCGAGTATCATACCAAGCACAACATAAGGAGGCCTTTCAAAGCATTCCCAAAACAATACACAGGCATAAAATAAGAGAAAGTGATCTAGCTGTCAGCGAGACAAACTAGCCTAAAAAATGATAAACACGGCAGTTGACCAATCAATGTTGTAAGAAAATCCAAAAAGATAATTGCCACTGAAACGTCAAGTACCATTAAGGTGTTGGCCATATGAGAAGTCAACCGTCTTGCATCATTGTCACGGAACATCATTTTGTTCCTGCTGCGTATTAATGATTAGATACAGGCTTTTCAGGCAGTATTTGAGGTTAGAACCAAAAACGTGGGGATGTAAAGTAAAAAAACAAAACACAACCAGGAACCAGAGAGACATTACGGTAAATCTGAAGAACTTGAGTCAAAATACGGCACCAAGCATTCACAAATTCTGTAAGAAAGAGGCAAAGTTATAACAACAACCTGGAGACAAATGAGGTCACATCTGGAGTCTGCAGAGACTGCCAGGCTGTATTATAGGGTTCAAAGCTTACGGTCTGCTTTCTGCAGGAGTTTGTACAAGTCTGGGCCAAAGTGCAGACATAAATATAGAGCAAATGTCATATAGTGAAATACAGAACTGAAACGGCTGAACAAACAGGTCCTGCTGACCAGGCAGTTTTGCTAAGACCAGAGGAAACTCTTTCACCCTGCTAGCAACCCAAGCTTTATGTAACAGCACTAGCACATCAATGTACATCAATTTTTACATTCACAAAACATGTTCAATGGATAATAAAACCCATTTTCCTGAACAGCTATGGCAGGTGTTGCCAAGTGATTAACATGTCTGCCAATGCTTGATTATATAACCTTGAACCCTGAAAGACCTTCAGTGATTATTATTGTGGTAATGATAAGAAGCAAATGAGAAATCAATGGATGAACCTAAAAGCCCTGCTTAATGACTCGTATGTGGCTTCAAGCTGAACAGAGACACAACAGCACAGGGTGTACTTCACAGTTTGCAGCGCAGGGTGTTTGGTAACAGGCAGAGATTGTAGTTGGAAACACAACCATGAGAATGTTTATCACAACAGAAATAGCAGGAGTGTACCAACAAAAAATGCTCAAAATAATTTCATCTTGTACAGAATTTTTTCTGTAAATGGACATTAACTGAAATGATTGTGTCTGTGCACAGCACTACCAATGTTGAGGTCTCAAGGACCTACTGGACATGGCAGCCACACATAGCAATGTTGCATTTTAACCTACCTATCGTAGATGAGCCCATCAATTCCCTGCTCTCTCAGCTTCCTTCTGTTCTCGTGGTCGTTGTTGTCTTCTCCCCAGCTGAACACCACCAGGCCTTTAGACTGGGCATCCGCAATGTAGCTAAGGTTCTTTAGCAGCTCCTCTGTGTGGCCACTGATCCCCTAAAGGACGAAGTCAAGTAAGAAAAAAGTTTATCTCAAAATAAAATTTACTTTTTACCTGCTCACTTTCATGTTAAAGTCAAATGCAAGATAAAGTCTGCAAACATGTAGCAAGTAAGCCAGTTCAGCTACATATGTGCTTTCAAAACAACATGTGACAGTGTCAGATTATGCTGCATAAGCTGTATGGATTTTTTGCACTTGTTAAAACCACATGGACATGTGTCTTACAGACAGCTGATACAGTAATATGCAAGCTTTGTTATGAGGACGGTTGTTTCGACTGATGTGAGGCCTTTATATTCCTGCCATTTGTATTTTTAAATATTACATTAAATAGTATTTTGGTAATGGTTTCCACATTTGTGCACTATGACTAGCATTAAACTGGTCAGGGTGAAGCGCGCGTTGCCCTCCTGTTACTGTCACACTGAAGTTGTATTTTCAAAAACAATTAATGTGAAACTACCTTTTCAAAGTCTGGAAAATTATGTGCATACCACTGTAATAAATGTTTGACCTTCTGCCACAAATGCTCACCAGAATATTCTCGCTCTGGGCAAAACTTATGGCGATCTGAGTACTCTGGCAGCGGATGTCCATCAGCTCAGGATACCTGTCTGAAATTCCCTGAGTCAGAAAGAGGATGGGGTACCTGTTCTGCTTCTGACGCACCCTGAGGGAAACACATGGAAAGATGTGCATAACATATATACTCTTTATGCTTCACAGGTGGGGTGATGAAAGAGTGATTTTAACTAAATTATAAGCCAATACATGGGCTTTTGAAATTTCAGAGAAGGCCTTCTTTTCCTGAAACCAAGTGCACTGCCATGTAAAGTTATTGTGTTTCTGGATAGTATGCAGTTTCTACAGCCTAATCAAATTTGTGCATTTTTTCCCCCTCAGTTGCAAACTGTGCTTACATTGTGCAGATATCTGGGTCGAAGCAGGAGAAGACAATGCGTCTTTTTCCACCTTTCTGCAGAACACAGGACAGGACGATGTCGAGGAACTTATTCATGTTGAAGTAGGACGATAGGTTGCCGTCCCATGAACCGTCCTGTCAACAAAAAGCATCAATCTCATCATTAGAATACATTTTTATTTTACACTGAATCACAGAATTCAAATATTCTTTGCAATACGCTGAGTGAGCCTATTCTAGTGAAGACCTCCTCAGCCCTATTTATTGAGCAAATGATTATTGACCCTATTCATTAAGTATACCCACCCTCATCTGGCAGATCCATTTGAGCTCAATGTTGAAGCCTACATGCTCAGGAATAGCTTGGAAAATCTGCAGAAGATTGAAGGATGCAATTAATTTTACTGTGATTTTGCATTGACTGAAGACAGTGAAAAGAAGGCTACAAAGACAAGACGAAGGTAATGATTGATACATTTAATATTTATCAGTTCCTTTCAGTATCGGTATATCATGATGATTTGGCAGTAGGTACAGTTAAAGGTACTGTTTATCTAAATGTATCTATAAGTACAGGGAACGGCTCATGCTGATTATATCAGCCATTTAATAACCCTGCTCATCATAAAGTCATGTACCTGTGAGAGAGACGGGAATGGCTGATGCTCATCGATTTCATCTTCATCGTCCAGCAAATCTGAACAACAAACAAAACAGATTACTGAAAATTCCCAAATGCACAAATGACCTGCTTTGTAATATATACAAAGCAATCCTTGATCATAGCTGAATTCATGCCAGTCTTTTGATCTAGCTGGCCAATGGGGCTGATGTTATATGATACAGATAGAAAAAAAACACAAACAATATGTGTATACCTTTGTCATTGTTTCCTTTTATCGCAGTGGCATGGGCCAGCTGTGCAACAAAGGAAAGCGCACATTATTTACTACTTTCAATTACAATCAACAAATTAAATGATGTACAGTTACCCTAGTTATTGTTTTCAGCAGCATGGGTGGGGTGGAGTAGGCTGGAGCGGGGGGATTTTTGTTTGTTGTTCCGTTCTGTGTTGCAATAATGCATGTATAATTTGGGTATATAAACATGATAACATTCTTGATACTAACCATTTGCATTCTGCCCATTTCTAATTTCTGGCAACTACCTTCGTACTACAATGCTTTGCACATTTCCTCTTCAACTACTGCAAGAAGGCAATAATCCAAAAAATGCTCCAATTTCTAGAGAAGGATTTGTTTGATGTTTATTTTGTCATTTTATTAATCTGAATGCTGCAAGTAGAGGAAACACTAAGTAACAGGCATTTAGACTTCCCAAAGCAGGAAAAGCACAGGTATAGCTAATATTAATAAGTATCCACTGTCATCTAAAGTCTTATTTGCATAGTTTGGGCCATCATTCCAGGTTTTTACCTTCAGAAGCTGCAGCTGATCAAATGTCAAGTCTTTGACTGGCACCTCAATAAACTCGAGAGAAGTCTTGTCATTTTTCTGCATAAAAATAGAAATAATAATATGAATTGTTTTAAGTAGTGACATACATTTGTTTTTATATATTAATCAAGTCATGGTTAGTAAAGGAAAATAACAGAAGTATAACATCTCAGATTTAATGACTTTATAAGTCATTTTCATGTGTTCATCATAAAGTACAACAGGCCTTTATTTTACCTTCCTGGTGGATATGCAGCATGTCAGATCATGGTATACAATAGGAACATCATCTTTGGAGAGGTGGACATCAAACTCTACGTAGGCTGCCCCCTACAAGTATTGACAATTGACACATGATAAAGGCAGATGTAATGTAAAGGTAAATATTTAGTTGTGCTTTAATTCTCTGTGTAACTTACATGGTTGGCAGCACTTTTAAATGAGGCTATTGTATTCTCCCTGATTCTTTGGTGCCTGTTAAACACAAGTTAAAAGGGAATTTGTTGACGACAAACAGATGCAAGTTATGCAGAAGTATTGGCCCCTATTGACGCACACTGTTGTGTACTATTAATTCTTTATTTGGTCTGCATTTAATGCAAGGCACTCTGTCCTATCAAAGTCAAAGAATGTTGTTATGACTCACTTGGCTGCGTGGGTGCTGCCAGCTCCTCTGTGACCCACATTCAGAGCGCCTCTTTTCTTCCAGTACTTGGTGAACGAGGAGCTCATGTCACACTGTAGCCCTTGGATGGGCCGGATCACCAGGTAATCCACTAAAACAAGAGTAACATTGTGTGAAATGATAAGTAAGACTTTAAAAACTAGTCAGATTATTGTCAGCCAGTGTGGAATTCATTTGTATAAAATCTTACCTCTGACTTTTCCAATGGTCTGTCTGGAATTTCGACCCATAATGGGAAGTGTGGCTACTCCGTTGTCCTTACCAATCTCCAAAAAAGAAGAGGAGAGGAGGCAAGCTGTGCCCGCGTGTCCTGGATGGGCATCCCCTTGGACTACATGTTCACTCAGGTCCTCCTGTAGACAAATATATAAAATTATTGTATGAAAACAGATCACTCTAATCATGGTGCCTGGTTTGTTCTTTCTTTTTCACTTGTATTTGTCAGTCAATACTATTTTCATAATGTATCAAGAAATGGGTTATCAAATGCAGTATTCCCTTGTGTATTACCTCAAAGAACTCAAAGGTGAGCTCCAGGTTGTCTGGGTCCATGGTATGGATACTGTATTCAGTCCACTGGGAGGGGTCCAGTCCATACCCACATTCAGGCTGCGAGTGACGCGACTTATAACCATTGGCACTGATCACACTGATCTCCAGAGTGGGGGTCATCTTGTGGCATGATGAAGGACTGGGCTCACCTTCCTCCTCGTCATCCTCCTCCTCCTCGATGCCCTCTAATGCCAGCTTGATTCTGTGTAGGTAGGTCAAATTAAAAAATACAAAAGTAAATACACAGATATGTTAATATATTTAAAGCCTCATATTTATAACATATAATGCATTAAAACATAAATAAAAGATTATCCTAGCTTTTCTTATAATTCTGTATGCAGGACTTGTGTAACACTGAGCTAACAGGTCGGGTAATAGTAGCACTGTAATGATCCACTGATCTGTATCATGGTGCTTTCAAGTAGAACTTTCTCTGGGTGGTGTTAAATTCGACCTTGTCGTCATCCCTACCTGAAGCGAGAATTCTTGAATTTCTTCTTAGTGATAGACACTGGGGGCACCTTAGAATAGTGCAGACGCAGGCGAATCTCTGTCTGACACGTCAGCCACCCAGAGTCAACACAATTCAGCCCATCTGTGAAAAGGGAGGGCACAGACAGGAAGCATTTGATGACAATGTACATCCACTTTGTCTCCCGTGACTGCTGACGAGAGACCTGTAGTCAGTGACAATAGCAGGGAGCAGCAACTGTTTGTTCTGTTAAAATGAATGACTTCAAAACCTCTGCTGTACAAAACAGAGGAAGTGACTACAATGTGGTCCATGGGGAATTCAGTTCGCCGAGTGATTAAGCACATCAGTAAAAAATATAGTTTTACAGTACTTCCATCTTATGAAGCTCTCATACTGTGAGGTAGAGTGTGTCTTAATTACATTTTTGGATCCAACTTACTCTGAATTCCAAATTGTCCATCATCAATTGTCTGGTGTGCCGCTGTAATAAAGGAAAAGTGCATTAAAATCAGAATAGAAGAATCCCAACAGTGCAAAAGTTGAGGTCAGATCAAACCAGAGCATTTCCTATGTACAAAGAAGAAAATCTCAACTTTTGAAACAAGATGCCAAATTCAAGCCTTCATTGGTCTGCTCTGAATTTGATTTGCCTCAACTTCAAAAAAGTCGACAAAGCAATAAAACACATGATTACAAAAGATCTTTAACTACAACTCTGAGCATGACAATGAGGTTAATTTAACAGGATGTTTATGAAATTACTCATTTGAGTTCAAACAAAACACTTCTGAATTGAATATAAAATGTAACCTTATGTGTAACAAATTCCTATTCTAGTGGGAGAAGCATTTTAGCAGGATTTGTTAGAAAAAAAAAAAAAAAAAAAAAACAAGGAAGTTGTGACGGAATGGGGTCACAAAGGACATCAAGTAGGGTGCAGACATAGTTACAACTGTTCTTCCTATCAAGCCTGTTCTGAATGAGCGCTGTCAGTGTTGAGCCCATCCAATGGTGTTTTAACTACAGAGGTCTACAATATCAGGTCATGACATCTACTGCTCTGCAGTCAGGTGGCAGTATGTTCATTTTGACAAACACACTACCTAAAACAAACCAAAGGTCAGATTTCACTATCCCTGAAATACTAACTAGGGCTGTACCAAATGTCTTTTCTTTTGATGTTTTTTTTAATGAGGCTTCAAATGTCAGTCGTCACATTTTTGAAGTTTGAATAAACTGATTCTTCAGATTAAACAAGTTTGTCTTTAAAAGGCAGAAGAAGTAGGATTTCTCTGTAGCTTCAAGATTGGCCTCTCTTCCCTGGCTCAATGAGTAAGAGAAGGGGAGCGAGAGCAGCGGTGGCCAAACAACTTAGACAGTGAATGAAGAGAGAAAAATAAGTGAATCCAAAATAAAACATCATTTTCTGATTGTTTCCCAGCAGTTTTGTTCTAAGCCACGCTTCATGCTGTCTGCTGTGTCCTTGCTCTGCTCTGTGTGTGCTTTTGTGTGTGCGTGTAGCTCAGCCCAGCCCTCGGTAATACGGATATCCATACACATTCATGGCATAGACGGAGAGCAGAGAAGAGAGAATCTGAGACAGAGATGTAACCTGGTCACTATGATATTTATGGAGTCCCAAGCAGCGCAGCATTCAATGTCAATTTAGAATTTGAATCTTGATGTTGGGATTAAAGCTTCAAACTATTCGGTACAGCCCTAATATGAACCCTCTTCTTTTAGCAAGACCTGACACTACATTAGTGTTGATGGGAAACTGCTATGTTTGGCACTAGTGCAGGGAATGGGATAAAGGGTTTGAGTATGACACACAGAACCAAACCCAATCTCCCCGTACACCAATTTTTTTGTTGTTGTTCTATACCTGTGGGGCTCATCGTGCGGGGCTGTTGATGGGTCTCCCACTTATTGACTATCACTTGACTGGGACCACCTGCACTCTGCAATTCCAATGTTTGGTACAATGTTAGGGTTTTCAAATCAGATACATCGAACTACTTTTCAGTCTGGTCTCCCGGCCACCTTGGACCAGAGTGTGAGAAAAAAAATTAGAGCTGGTATATTCACCAATTCCCAATTAGGGCAGTCAGCCACCATGGGTTGAAATCTGAAAAGTGGATTTGTTAGTATAAAAAAAGCTTTAAAGAAATCTTCAGTTCTTCATCTGCAACAAAATTATCATTAACTAAAGCAACTATGTATGTAGCATCACATTTTTTACCTTTGTAATTTACTTCCGTCGATATATAGAGTTATATTGCTGCTACTGCTGTTTGAGTAACTAAATTTCAAGCATGACTCAGACAGCATGAATAAAACACCAGAATGGGAAATCCACATTTCTTTGAACCCTCATCAACTGATGAAATCCAATGACACCTTTAAGCTCACATAGAGCCTATGCAATTTACACAGAGTGGCATGCAGGACACAAAACTAGCACCAGCCATATGCTGGTAAAATATGCTAGTGGCTTGTAGATCAAAAAACAAACAATGGTTATCTATTGAGTGGCTGGTAAAATCTTCAACATTCACTAGCTAATTGGCTAGTGCACAAGTTAATGTTGCACCCTGTAAACAAGTCACAACAACACAGTACAAACACAAGGAAGTTAAATAAGAGTAGGCCTTTAGTCTCACAAAATGCGAGTCCCGCCCATGACTTCATAAAAAAAACAATAACACACCCATACTAAGAGAAAATTCTAAGAAAGAGCTTGGTGCTATTAATCTGAGAAATGTCCGACTCTGACTTTTCAGGTAATTTGAAAGGAAGTTTGATCTCTGGTATATTTGTGTGTATCTATATACAGACGACCTTAGGAGAGGCTCACATGGTTAGATTAGACAAAGCCAGCTGGCGGTTAGGTTGGCTAATCCTCAAAACTAACCTAAGGCTATATCTTATCTGTGTTTATCCCTGAGGGTATAGAGATCGGGAAAGAAATGCACAAATCTTAAGAGGGATCTTAGCATTTTCTAACATACTCTTTCAAAGTCAATGGAACAAACAAACAAACACATAGAACCTGTTTCTGCCCTTCCTGTTGATGAGCTGAAAAAGTAAAGGTATCAATTGACAGAGAACCTGAATTCATCACATCACAAAATGACACTGGCTTTGAAATTCCCAACATTTGTCTTTGTCACAACATCCAGTACAGCTTTCAATAGATTATCTTTGACAACTATGAGCAAATTAATCTGTAATTTTTAAGGCTATACCACTATACAGACAGAGGACTCTGCTCACCTTTGACTCCAGGAACAAGCCTTTGAAATAGCGGTACTTGGAAACCACTCCTTTAGGTACAGTGATTGTTGTAGTCCACGTATTTCTGTCAGGGAGTCAAAATACACGTTCATATTTTACAAGGACAAAACAGTAAGAAAAGCAGACACGCTTTTGCAAATAACCTTGTAGGGAAAAAAACAAACACATGCTGTCACATGATGAGAGAGACATTACAGATAAAACTGTACCTACCCATCATTACCATCAGAATGTAAGGTCACAGCTTTTTGATGGCTCCAGCTCCCCAGGGCTTCACAGCTACCAACAACTGCAATCACCTCCCCTACAAGAGTTCAAATTGGCCCGTTATCAGATGTAACTTCACAAACAATTAAAAAACAAATACAGCTGACACTTACGTTTTAACTACAATATTTGGGTGTCAACATGTTTGAGATGTAATTTTAAACAAGGACATGCTGACATGGAGTATAACGAATATGTGGCAAATACATTGTTATTTTCACAATCCCAACCTCCTACATTTTTCCAGGAGCTTATAAACACGTCACAAGTGGAACAATGATTTCAATATTTGGGGAAATATACAATAATCTTTTTGGCATTACTGCACTTCACAAATAGATCATCTATGAAAACCAACAAATAATAACATTGTAATACAAAACATTTTACAACATAGCAACTTCTAATTGTATCTAGGTTAAAGGTTATGCGTTTACAATTACTGAGCCCTTTATCTTTGTGTGTTTGTGTCTACAGTAACATTTAACAACCATACCTGGGGATGTTTCTCCTCTCACAGCCAAAGTCACCTGAGTGGTCTCCATGGTCGACAAAGGCACGGACACAGATTGGCGACAAAAACAACTGAAAAACAACAACAGATTTGAAAGTTAGTGTCAACAACACAATACAGGAGCAGCATACAGTGTAACGATTGGCTGCTTTTTAGTGTAAACTGTCAAAATAACGTGATGGAAACCGAGCTAACTGTTAGCTGTAAACTCACCTCCAATGGTCGCTGGCCAAAGTGCTGTTAAATAGCTAACGTTAGCTAACCCAGCTAACCATCGGCAAGTTTGCTAGCTAAAAAAAACGTCCTGTGAATAGCAACAGTGGTACAAAACAACTAAAGCGAAGGAAACCATTGTCATAACAGCTATATTCTTTGTTTTGGGACCTGAGTTACGTGTCGGTGGTAGGCAGCCTCGAAAATGGAGAGTTTCCAGTGAACCAGTTTCTAAACCGGTCTAAAGCAAACCTGACCGGCCGACCGGTCCACCGCTTCTCATCGCTGCCCCGTTATTCAGAGAGAAAACACCCTGGCGTTCAATAACCCGCGACAGACGAGCTTTAACAAAGGTTGACAACTAAGTTACTGGGACGGTTTAACGTTAGTAAACAACTATACACGACTGTCAAGTTCACCACATCAGAAAAAGGTTTCCGGTATATATTTTCAAAGTAAAGGATTAAATAGCTAACACGCTTCGATGTCACAGTAAATTAAATAGAAAATCATTCAAGGAAGAATTTGGCACAAACAATAAGGCAACCGTGGATTGAAATCTTCAGAAAGTTCTTTGAAAGAGGATTTAGACCCTGATGTTGGGAGATACAATTCACAGACACTGTGAATGAAGAAATACACTGAGAAAATGTGTGTTTTTTGTAAAATATTTCCATTTTCTATTGATGTACATACAAAATAAAAAATCTAGGTCGGTTACATTACACGGGGGGGCCATGTGCTCAGTATCTTTAAATCCCAAATGTCGCTCAGAGAAAATTCTGTGTTAGATGTAGCCTCGAGTATTTCCTCTACCACTGCAGCTATGTAATTATATGTATGTTTTATTTTGAATGTATAGTTTCTCGTCGTGCTCTGACTTCCGTTGACTGCCTAACGGATCTGGTTCATACCGCCCTGTTCCAGATCTGTACACTGCATCTATGCTGCATTAACGTACCATCGGAAATATCGCTACTAGCTGAGCGCACATGGTCGACCCCCAAAAGTAGTAAACAAAAGGGAAAGTCGCAGCTTTATGAAATAACGTGCCGCCAGGATGGCCGAGGAACAGATAACTATTAAAAGCATCACAATTCAAAACCTTTAGCGAGTTTGTTTTCTACTTAAAACATCAAATATGGTATCCGACCGCAGTACATTGTAATGATGTGCATTCCGCATCAACTGGTTTGTGTACGTCTGCAGTACACGGACAAACTTAGGGGAGTTAAGTGTACGTTAAAGAAAATTGCATTACATTACATGGCAACGGGAGTTACAACACATGTGAACATACCGTCAGCAGTAATCGATCTTGCACATTGTCGGTGAAAATAATAAGTTGTTTTGAAGATGAGGCTTGGAGGTCGATCGCTTCCTTAAATAGGAGGGGTGTTTTTTTACACAATTACGTCATCAACACCGTACCCTTGACTGTCGAAAACATCTCCATCACAAGTTAGAAATTAGTTCTAAAATACACAAAATCCGAGCCCTGTCGTGGGAAAACGTTTTCTACGGAAGCGTCCAATTACCTAACCGAAATGTCAATATTATATAACGTAACTCTGTTGATGGACGCTTGAACGATTGATCACTTTTTCCCTATTATTTGACTGGCTGGGGCAGACAGGTTTACAAGCACTGAAAAGTTCATCCATCGACATTTTCACCTGAGCTGCTCCACTGGGACAGATGTGGATGAAGTGCCTTGCTCAAGGGAACTTCAGCAACGGGTAAACATATTTTGGCCACCTTACACTAACCACTGATAGTTTATTATAAAATATTTGTTGAAAAATATACCTATTATCTTTAAAAACGTATTTTATTTCCGACTGTGGTACTTGGCCACTTGAATAATAATAATCATCATCATAATAATAAAGATAATAACACTTTATACAGCACTTTTCAAAACAAAGTTACAAAGTGCTTTACATGGTTGAACCAGGATAAAAACATCTCTGGAATGCAATGAGGTAAATGAAATCGGGCAATTAAAATAACTGAATACCTAACACAATACAATATAAAAGAAATAAATAGTTTAAACATAATGAAGGCTACAGGGCTTCCTTCCTTCCTTTGTACTCATGACAGTGCCAGAGTTTACATTAGGTAGATCCAATAGCCTGGGTCCCTTATTAAACTGTTTTCTATTGTGGAGCTGACGATGTTTGTTCTAACTGCATGATAGGCACATTATCAATACCCCTTTAAAACAGGAGGATCTTTAGACAAAGTAATGATACTGGGAATGAGGAAGTTTGGTTGACCTTGTGTTAGACTAACCTCCAATCATGTGTAAATGATGAAAGACCTCAGACTGTGATTCTGAATCTGAGCCTCTTACAGGTCGTTTGCATGCATTCAGACTGAAAACCAAATTTAGCCTGCAGCCCCCTCCAGTGTTCAAATACAAATAATACACCATGCCACATGGCAGCGTGGAATATAACTTAAGAAGTATAAATCAGACATTTCCAGACAGGACTACCTCACAGTGCAATTCCTCATCTCTGACATGCACTAGGCGATATCATAATCCTTCATACATAGAAACAATTGCACTGCACTCGCAGTCTTTTAATGAATCAGGGATTACTGAATCCCTCTTGTTTTGGATAAGGCAGACACAGCAGAGTGCTAATTAGTAAAATGAGACTGATGAAAGTTTTCATTTCGGAATGAACTGTTCCTTAAAGTAGTAGCCATCTTCATTTCTTGTCTGGCTGTGTTAATGAACACCACTGGGACCCCAATGTGATGAGGCAGGGGCAGATCTGAGGGTGGGAAAAAATGATCCATCTGACCTGGGAAAGCACTGAAACACTCTGCTCTGGGTGTGTCAAGCATGAAAAGTTTGGAAAAGAAACTTGAGTGCTGTGTATGAGCTCCGATTGCTCTGGCGTCTGTGACAGTAGATCAATGCTGAAAAGTGGTTTTAGATTGCAAGAAAGTGAGAGAGAGGCATGAGAGGACTTTATGAAGGAGTGAAAAAGAAAACAGAGAAATCATGATGGGTGAAGAGAGACTGCAGCATTCTGAATATTTCAGGCTATTTCTCAGCACCCAGCAGTGCTCTCACAGATCACCAGCCACTCACAACCTGCTAAACTTATTCCTTTACACATGTATTTTTCTCTTGGTTAGTTATGGAGGCTCGAACAAAATTACCAAAATTATTATTATGCCACCTGAATAAATCATAAGCACTGATCAAATACAAAATACCATAAATTAGTTTATGTTTGTATGTTTGATAAAGCACACAGATTTGACTTATTCAGTTGCGATTAGTATAATCTGTAAACACGATGTAACAGTCAACACTGATCACAGGGTTGGACTCTAGTTGGTGATGGGATAGGTCTGGGATGTTAACATCTAATCACTAAATCTATAGCATCTTCTAGACATTTAGCATTGTCTGTATAATTACAGTTAGTTAGTGCATTTCAATGGATTGATGTATATAATAATAATAAAACACTGGATTATACACTATAAAATACAAAAAAAAAAAAAAATCAAAATGTGAAATGTGAAGTCCATAGATAACAATGTTAAATACAAAAATATAATATTTATCAAAATGTATTGAACAACATAAACAAAAATGAAGGAGCATAAAAATAAAATAAGGCAGTAAGTGATAGTATTAGAAGCACTGAAGGCAAAAAGCTAAAAAGTTTTAAGTAAAATCCAGACAGCAGTGTGGGTCAAATTCAGTGTCACAATTAGTCTAAAATTGTTCATATAGTGAGTGTGTCCACAAATATGCAAGCAAGCAATACATAATAGATCCTCTTAAGGTAGACAATTAATAAGACATAAGGTACATTGTAAAAATAAGTGCAAAAGAAATGTAAAGATGCTATGCTTGCCTGATATCTGACCGAATGATCAACTTGCAGAGTGAGCAATTTGAAGGTCTGGACCCAGGTGACGTCTCTACGGCATGTAGATGCTGAAATAAGTGTTTCTAATGTAGAACAGAAAATTAAAATGTCTACCAGAATACCTTCCTCAAATTTTACCTCAGTGTCCAATTCATGCAATATTTCCGAGCACTGAAGTCTCAGATATATTGGCCACTGAGCTCAGGAAATGAATAGACCAGATTGTTATGGTGCACTAAAAGAGCCCAAGGCTTAACATGACTTATATTATAATAATCTACCATTGTTATAGTCAGATGATGGTTGTGTGAGTGCATAACATCAAGTTTCCTACGTTACATTGCCACAACTCTTGCACTGAATAGAAACAGAATGTGTAAAAAAAAAAAAGTGCAAAAGTGTCTAGTGTCTTATTGATGTATAGCACTTATTTCTTGGCATGGTAAAATATTTCATTATCATGGGGCATATGAGAAGCAATTGCCTTCAGGGCTTTGAGTTAAAATCTACAGCACATTTTTTTTCTCCTGTGATGCTTAAATAAATTTGCTAAGAAAAGAAAAATAGCAGTTAATATTGAAATTCCAGCCCACGAGGCAGGGAAGTAATATGAATCCACTGCAGTACATATCCGTGCAGATTACAGTTTATATTATAAATCGATCATATGAATGAATGTGGGTACCAAATGAGATCAGCTGAATATATATTTACCTATATGTGCGTTCAATAGATATTCTATATTTACCCTGTTTGTGTTTGAATGAATGAATCAGCAGGAGTGTGTAGAGCAGTCTCTCAAATTTGCCTGCAGCATGATCCCCATCTACTGGTCATGAATACACAATCTCTCTCTCGCTCTCAGTCTGTCTCTCTCATGTTTTCTGCTGGTCTCTCGCCCCACTCCTAACTCCATTTGAGGTAATATTTATGTCAAAAAGATAAACTTTAGACATTTGAAAGCTTTCAAGAGCCTACAATAGATCTTATAAAGTGCATAAAAGCTGGGAGGACAGATGATATTATGTAGATTTCCAAAAGATAGAATAAAAGTAATTCTTCAAGTCTGAAGTCTCAGACAGAAAAGAAAATATGGTGCTGGTGAATTTGAAGTTTTCCCTGATGAGCAGAGGATTGCTGAGTTATTAAGATCATTTCCAATTGAAATGCAGATCATTGGCACAGTGTTACATAAAACCTTATTGTGAATCACTGCGCAAAAACCCCGATCCCGAACACCAACATACAAATTTTAGTACTCTGTAATGGGATTTCTCAGCGAGGTACAAAAAAGACATCCAAGTGAAACAGGAGTGCAAATTTCACTTGTGCTACTGTACCATCCTGAAATGACATTAGAGCGAGCAGCCAAGCATTGACCAGTGGTCAAAATGGGCCTCGGGGAAAACTGATGGCTCCACAGATCAAAACATTACACCATATCCCACCTGCCTGTCATGGTTGGTAAGACAGAGGAAATGAATACAGAGAGACAACGATGAAAGCATGGAAGGCAAAGAG